TGCACACGCCATTCCGCAATCGCAGGAGGGTCGGTGTAATGCACTACCAAAACGCCCGTAACTAAGAAACAAATGCTAATTCGATGATGCCGGCTGGCACACTGATTCACTATGAATGTAGGCCGCACCCCCTAGCGGCAGAAACTCGTACTACATCCGGTTCGCCCTCTATTGACACAGTCTGGAAACTTTCCGATCGCACCTCGTAATACGGATACTTCTACAAGTGGATTAAGAAGTAGTATAAATTTCTATACTATTACAAGCCTATTTGGATTTGAGTTACTGTAGGATTATTAGCTTACACTCATCTAAAATTATTAGGCAGTCGCATCAAATGGCAATGGCATATGTTAGATAACAAATATAAGAAGTGTTCTCTATTTAAGAGACAGCAAGCTTTTGAAATAGGCTAGATAGTTTTATAATGTATTTACCTCCATCTGTCTGGCCTGCAGTCCAGAATTGGTTACGTATCTGAACACAGATACACCTGAAAATTAACTTTGGCCCCAGTACACTAACATTGTTTAATGACACTTACTTCCCTCCGAATTAGGCTGGCAAGACATGTCAATTAAAAATTTAGATCAGATCTAAAACTTCTTGACGATGGTGAAGAGTCAATTGAATAAAAATTTTCTTGGATATTATCCATCGTCTAGTAAATATACATTTTGTATTTACTAGACGATGGATAATATCCAAGAAATTTTTTATTCAATTGACTCTTCACCATTGTCAAGAAGTTTTAGATCTGATATACATAACAGGTATGGACCTGGTGTACTTTTTAAATTCAGGAAGTTTGAACACGTAAAAATACAACTGGCCAAGACTCTTAATCATCTTACTTTTCTTATGAAGTGCAAATCTCATGACATTGTGCCTAAAGGCCTTACACTGAAAGTACCTTATCATAGCCGCCGCTCTTTTAGAATAGCTTTGCGAGCAAGTCAGGCTCTTCTGAGGGAAAGAATACAGTTTTATCGTTCCAAAAAGTTTTTCCTCGGGGAACAAGTCATCGACCTAGAAGTTTTCTTCCAGAGGACAGTTAATCAGGTGGACCGACAACGTATATTTACAGCAGTGGAAGGCTCCTTCAAATATTATTTTCTCAAACAAAAAAACATCCAAATCAAGAAGTTCTCTACTTTAATTAATAATCATCAGACTACTACTTCAGCTCGAGAAATATCTTCGGGGTCTAAGAAGTTCATTCTCAATATTTCAGAACACTCTCTTACAAAATCGGAGGAAGCTGTTCTTCAGAAGGGGCTCAATTTTGCATTGAGTAGGACTAGGTTCAACCTGGACCTGGCAGTTGCTGCTGAATCTGTTCAATTGACTCTTCACCATCATCAAGAAGTTTTAGATCTGATATACATAACAGGTATGGACCTGGTGTACTTTTTAAATTCAGGAAGTTTGAACACGTAAAAATACAACTGGCCAAGACTCTTAATCATCTTACTTTTCTTATGAAGTGCAAATCTCATGACATTGTGCCTAAAGGCCTTACACTGAAAGTACCTTATCATAGCCGCCGCTCTTTTAGAATAGCTTTGCGAGCAAGTCAGGCTCTTCTGAGGGAAAGAATACAGTTTTATCGTTCCAAAAAGTTTTTCCTCGGGGAACAAGTCATCGACCTAGAAGTTTTCTTCCAGAGGACAGTTAATCAGGTGGACCGACAACGTATATTTACAGCAGTGGAAGGCTCCTTCAAATATTATTTTCTCAAACAAAAAAACATCCAAATCAAGAAGTTCTCTACTTTAATTAATAATCATCAGACTACTACTTCAGCTCGAGAAATATCTTCGGGGTCTAAGAAGTTCATTCTCAATATTTCAGAACACTCTCTTACAAAATCGGAGGAAGCTGTTCTTCAGAAGGGGCTCAATTTTGCATTGAGTAGGACTAGGTTCAACCTGGACCTGGCAGTTGCTGCTGAATCTGTTCAATTGACTCTTCACCATCATCAAGAAGTTTTAGATCTGATATACATAACAGGTATGGACCTGGTGTACTTTTTAAATTCAGGAAGTTTGAACACGTAAAAAAACAACTGGCCAAGACTCTTAATCATCTTACTTTTCTTATGAAATACAAATCTCATGACATTGTGCCTAAAGGCCTTATGCCAAACTTCCCCCTACTGTGGGAATGGAATTCAGTTGGAGAATACGGTCAATGTTGGAGAAATCAAAACCACCAACATCTAATATAACTAAGATTGAGTTTAGGGCCA